GATATGCCAGTTGGGAACCGGCTCATGCCAGTTGGGAAACAGAGTATGCCAGTTGGGAACCGGCTCATGCCAGTTGGGAAACAGACATTATTATCTAGGCTGAAGGCATTATTTCTGCAAGATCTAAATGCTTAGATCTAAATTCTTTTGTGAAATATTTGTATTTGTAGTTCTATTGAGTCACTGAAGCACAGCACCGGTGATTTAATACGTTAAGAAGTACAGATCAGTGAAAAGTGGTGTGCCATTCAATTTGAATTTAATCCAAAAACTTTTCATATAAAAGAGACATTAAATAAACAATTTCCTGTTTCAGGGTCAGCAGCTCACAATCTGAAAACAGTGTTAGCAAAGCTCTGCTTCCCCTCTGCTGCGCCGGACGGTTTGCCAGAAACACTTTGATCCAACCGATTCAAGTCTTTCTCCAAACTGCAAGTTTTTGCCTCGGTAACCGTGGCGACACGCTTGGCTTTATGATACCTGCCTGCTGCCTCAGGAGACCCACAAGCTGACCAGATCTGTCCAGTTCAGTTTATTTATTTAACACCGATTCACAATACATGTCATAGATTTTCCACACATTTAACCACATTAACAGAATACTTTGATGGAAACCTTTGCCCTGGCTGCAAGGTCAGGGCAGATGGTCCCAGTTTAGCCTGATAAGGTTCCTGCCACCATTTGAAATGGACAAGCTGTGTTCAATGTTGGTGATTTGTGCAAAGGCTTCAAAGGTTGGATAATAAAGGAGAGCACATGGATATAGCAGTCAGAGGAAGACTAAACATTTAAACAGTTGTTTCTGAGCTATGGGCTCTTTTGTTCCTTCATTCTGTAGAAGAGTGCATCAAGTGTCTGAATAAATACTAATCAATGCTACTATTTTTCCAACTAGCTTATTAAACCAGTGCTGTAAAGTGAAAAAAGTTGGATGCATTTTGCTGTTTCGTAGTATTTTCTCCATGTAGATTTCTTTGAATCAGATCTAATTGTCTGCCCTGGGTGTGCTAACCTCAAAGCTGAAAATGTCCTCTGATTTGTGCCTTCATACTGACTTTGCATATATTTGTATGAGTATCCTCCTGCTTGCAGGCTGGAGCAGGAAAGCGCAGGAGAGAAAACCTTCCGTCTGTTTTCCTCTGACTATCCCACATGTAAATAACAGCACAGGCTCTTTAATTTACATGAACTGAGGTTTGATCAGTTAATGTGCCAAAACAAAGTTAGTCCTTTGCACAAAGAACGTCAAATGGCCACATATGTAATGTTACTGAGATTTTAAAAGAGTTAGAATGTGAAACTTTTCAACAGGATGTTTTTAATCAGAAACAGGTCAAAGTGAAACAAGACATCTTGTTTTTTGTCACTACAAACCAGGAGAGGATTATAAGATGAAAGTAGCATCGCAGAGATCAGATTGAAATAATGAAACAATAACAGAATAAAACATTAAAAACGTTTGGGGGTCGTCCTGTTTGGTGGGTTCGGTTTAGGAGAAGGTATGAAGAGTGCTTAGGTTAGGCCAGAGGAATGAATTGAAGTCAATGGAAGGTCCCCATAAGGATAGCGGGACATAACGTGTGTGTTCTGTGTGGTTCAGTGCATGTACAGCAAAAGCAGTTAAGACCAGAATGCAAATGATAAAGACCAAGTGGAAGGAAAGACTTCAGAGCTGCAGGATGCAGCAGCAGCATGTCTCAGGTTTAGCCCTAAACCTGCTTCAGGAAATTCTTTAGGATTTCTTTAATTAAAGGTGAACAGCAGTTAGAAAGGTGTGTTTGCCAGTAACCCACATGAGCTGCTGTGCTTCAAGTAAATAAATGTTGAAATGAGAGCTTCGCTTCCAGCTAACCTGCCTTTTATGGTTCTCACTGCTGAATTTACTGTAGTTTATTTAATGAACAATTTCAAATGTTTCAAACTAATAATGAAAAATAAAACTGAGCAGTTTAATAAAATCAACATTTGGACTTTGGACATAAAGGTCGACATATTCAGCTGTACATGGCATGTACCTATACAGCGTCTTTTCAAGTCAGGAAGTGTAGCCAAAACGTTTAAACCACATTCAGTCATTCACTCACTTATAGCCACAGCTGGCCTGGGTCTCACTGACAGAAGGCACGCCGCCATACTGGGACCTCTGACCCATATTTAGCTGCAGTTACACCTCTTCTGTTAACTCAGATGGTAAATCACGCTGTAGCACATCCATGCATTAAAGGATCCAGTTGGGCACCAGAATGGGGATTTAAGAGATGCTAAATGTAGCGTGGTTGTTGGTGTAAGAAGCTACTCCTGCCCTACCATCTTTACTTGCAATTGTTTCTCAGGGTTTAAGTACAATAAAGACAACAAATCCAGCGAGCATCTATTTTTTAACATAAAAGCCTTGTTGATGTCAAACCCTTTTTAGATGTGATCAACAATTAAATGGCCGTTATTATCAGTCCCATAGAGTGGCTTCAGGATGCACCTTCTCTACCATCTAATAGGTTTCTTATGGCCTATAACATGTTGCTTATCGTTGATCGCAGCCACTTCGGATGCGTCTAAAACCTTAAAGGAGGATTTTCTTTTTCCAGGTGGATCATCTCAATCATTGGTCCTCCTAATTGTCAGTCATTCTGGTAATGTTTACGTAAGGCCGTCCTATGTGCTGTCCGAATAGGTAGCTATCTTTTTATGAGCATGTCCACTTACAGGCGTATATCAGACGGTTTCAGACAGTCATTGAAGCTCACCTTTCTCATCGCGGTTCTTTGAAAATGGCAGAGGGTCAGAAGAGAAAAAGTCTCTACGAAGTTTGTGAGCAGAAAAGAAAAGCCTCGGAGAGAAACCAGACCAGATTGTTTCTAGGAGATTCTTTCACATGATGGCGTCCACTGAAAGCACAGGTTGGTCTTCCCTCTGATGCCTCGCTTGACAAGTTTCTACTCGACAGGTAAAGTTTAGCTACTTGGAAAAATGCATTTCACATCACTGCTGGAAAAAGTTATCTACCTTTATATTTTAACTATCCAGGAAAGATAAGCTTATTTATTTTGTAATATGCATCTTTAGTAGTTATACGGTGGCCTTGGATCCTCATCTACCTGCAAACATGTCCAAGTTTCCACTGCAGCACACTCACAGACACTAGCATGGCATGATTTCCTAATTGTACCAGTAGTCTTATTTGAGGGGAAAGTTTTTATCTATAAATATGGGTGAGATGAGCGACCGTCTCATTATTGTCTCCCTGCACCATTTAGAGGAGAAATGGGCTCCTACACGCATTTAATAGGCGTTCCCTCTCTGGAGCGGGTACAGGGTTGTGCATGCACAATTTCTTTTAATGTGGAGAGGGCGGGTCTTTCACTAAAATCCTCCACTATGCCTATAACTTTCTATTTCTATTATTTTATTTATTTTATTATTTATACTTTTTAATCAACCTTATTTACAGCACAGCCGCTTAAAAAAAAGTGTTTTAAAGCTTTACTTTGAGTGATTTCCACGTTTCAATCACACACATTTAATGTGGCGTTTAAAATCAACTCAGTTTACAGGATCTGGGGGGGTAACATGCCGATTCATTGAAATGATGTTCTGGTTAAAAATACATATATTAGGATAAATACCGTTCTGTGGGACTGATAACTGCTAATAGCGGCCTTTTATCGGGGCGATAACATCCAAAGCGGTTGGATGTCAGCAGATAAAGGATAATAAACACATTGGTTTGGTTAGAGTTAGAAGACAGTAATATTTCAATTTTATCTGCTATTTGTGTTTTTTATTGTATCAATAGTGGCATAAAAAATGTTGGTCATCCGATCTGTAATTTGGAGAAGAATCTCTGAATACTCAGTAGGATGATCAGCTACTGCAGCAGAAGGATTCCTCTCCTATAATCTGATGGAAACAACATGGTGGTGTGTGGGATGATTGAACACCTTAGGCTCCAAAGTATTAGTTTAGCCTTTGAAATATCACAGCCTCCCTGAGCAACAGCTAGTGAATGCTGGACAGTTTTAAAACTTAACGATTCTTAGACTTTAGACAGATTTTATTTGTCATTTTGTTACACAAGTGTGAAACAAAAAGAAATTTCGTTTGGAAACAGCTCACTGGACAATTCATCTTTTTTTAAACTGCAGCCTTGAAAAATGGTTAAAAAAATAAAATAAGATAAAATAAAATATATATATATATAATATATAAACAGTAATATAAACTTCAAATACATTTTTTTGTGCAAAGTTAACATTTTAGATTCTTATCAAAACCACATTTTAAAATAGAATTTAAAGAATATAAAGTCCCTTAGTTGTCCTAGAATGGGGAAGTTCTGGTGTTACATGTTATGGTGGAAGAAGCCAGACTGCCTGATTTGTTCCTGCAGAACTTCCAGCAGTGCAACAATAAAGAACCGGATCGATTGATAAAGGGGAGACGTAGCAGAGAGTCACTTTGGTGAAACCTGCTGTGAAGCAGCCGTACGGCAGCTTTTCCCAGAAATTCCAGATATTTCTTTAAGTTCATATCTACTGTGAGCTGAGCGGCTTTTGGCCTCTTTGTCACACTTTAACAACCAAAGATTAATAAATCAAACTCAGGAAAAAGTTTTTTGGTTAAGTAATTTTGACTTGGCTAAAGATTTAAAATGTAAAATATGAATATTCTTCATACAACTACAGTAAACTAGTTGAATCTAGTAAGGACAGCAAATTAAAAAAGATTGTGTTAAAAAGGTTGAACTGAAAACAGAACAGGATTCACCTTTGCTCTGTTCATGGAGGCCAAAGTCGTTGGAAAAGCGAAGGGGCCTGTTTTTGACCAGCTTCTTGGTTCTGACCCTTGGAGCCCTGAAGACACTGGGAGAATGACTCCCACTGTTGTTCCACTTCCTGAAGTCTGTTCCGGCTGATTCACTGAGGGAAGCTGCTGGATGTCATGACTGAGAATCCCTTTTTCCATAACATTTTCCCTCACTGGAAAAAAAAAAAGATTAAAAGGTGTTTAGAATAAAGAGCTGAATCTGGTTCACTGCTGTGATTTCATCTGAATGAAGCAAACATGCATCTTACCTGCAGTGCTGTCCTCTTGCCATTGATGCAGCTCTGGTTCCTTCCATTGCCATGCTCCACATGCACCCCGCTTTTTCTTTACCAGGAAAGATCTTGGCATTTCTTTTTCTTTCTTCCGATGATTTAGATGGAGCACGGCAACAGTTGATGAGATCTGCTACTCGTCTTCTTTACAACTACAGTTTTATTCCTAGACAATCTGCAAGTGAAACATCCCAGTAAAATCACTGGAAGATTTTGCATACTCTCTGGACAGAGTGGTGGAGAGAGAATGGCAGTGGTTGGTTGTTATCCACCTGTGATGGCTGAACATATCCGCCATTTTAACTGGTCCTCCGATGGATTTGCATGTCAGGTAGTGTGTATCCGGGGAGCTTCTCATTCAAGTAGCTTTTGACATGCAAATGAACGTTCAAGGCTAAGCCGGGGACCATGGGAAGGGCACGGTCTAAATAACAGGAGCAAACACAGTGAAGCCACAATCTTAACTGACAGGTAAATCTAACTTTTCTTGTGATAATTGTCTAGTGGATATTCCTCTAACGAGAGTTGTGTTTGTGCATCTCTATCTACATGAACACTAAGGATGTGAGATGGTCGAAAAAAGCCACATTTCCTTACAGCAAACCTTCATTTCATGAAATCACATTGGAAATTAAATAACTTTATTTTAAACACCTTAATGACCATCATTCTATAAAAATAAAAAAAACCTATATGATTTACATTGATTCATTTATCCTTAGGACCAATTAAAGACTCAGAGACTTATTTTCATCATGTTTACACAGAGTGTACACATTATTTACTCCCTGTTCTTTAAACATGGACTCCCTGATCGGAGCTGCTTCTTGTGGAATTCAGACCTGAAGGAGCTGGAGGAGCTGTTGCTGAAGCTTTCACTAACCCTTTCACTAAGAACTTAAACACAGATATAACATTAGTGTTCATGTGTTCCTCAGATGCTCGTTACATTTCCATTACCAAGTCTGACCAAGAGTCATTTAGTGGAATCCTGATGTCTATTCGCTGCTAGCTATTTCAAAGAGGGTAAAGAATCATTTAACTAAAGGTTATTGGTTCTTGATTAAGCAAATCATTTAATAAAACATTATTTAACCAAATAATGTTTTATTCACCTCGTGGATTTGCATTGTGAATTGGTCTGAAAACATTCCAATTTCTTTAAATGAGTGAAAAGCTAATTTGATAAAATTCTTCCAGATAAACTTTGGTTTTAAACACAGAATCCATCTTAAACTGTAATATGGTTTTCAACTGTTTTCCCCTTTATCTTAGTACATAGTAGTTAGTTTAGTTTAGTTGAGTTTTACTAGTTTTAGTTAAGAGTGTTAAACTGAAATTTGTTTGACTTGGAGCTGAATGATTTTTGTTTTTAATAAAGTCTTATATTTTGAACAGAAGTTGTGGTGAATTTATTCCATGTATGTGCAGAAATAACTGTTTGACCATGATTAGAGCTCGAATCACTCTTTGATTTATCGTTCTAACACACAGTTAGTAGGACTGTGTGTCTTAAACATTGTATAACAGCTGAAATAATATCTGATTAAATAAGATATTTACTACCCCTACAGGGGAGGGCAATAAACATCTTAAAGTATCAGAAACATAAATTGCCAGCTGGCTGGGAATATATTTGAATGGAACATTTAATTGGCGTCCCAGGTTGCTGGGCCCATTGAATATAACAGTCACTTTATTCTGAATTAGATTTCACTAAATGAAAAAATAAAACAATTTGATTTCTATTTCCTCCAAAAATATTAATATACATGTATATCAGTTCAAACTTATGAACAATGAAATCAGTGATTTTCATCCCTTAGGTGTTAAAAATAAATGTTAACCTACAAATGACCAATATATGGGATGTAATTTAAAAAATGCAACTAAAATACATAAAAGCTATGAGTTCATTTACAAAAATGGCAGATTTCCAAAAAATAAATAATTAATTCCTGAGGATTTGACTCAAAGTGGCATCTTTTCCTGAGAGAGAGAAATAATAATAATAAAAATAACTTTTTGCACATTTAAAACAAGTATGTTTTAAAGAGAATGAAACCTAAAACCTGCTCAATGGATTTAAATGTAGGATGATGAAAACAAAACACATCCTAACGTTCAGAATTAGGACTGACTTAAAGTTATAAATTGTTGATAATGGTCCCCCCCCCCCATAGGCTTTAGGTAGGGGGGGTAGTCCTATATTTTTATTTTTTACTGGAGGATTGAACCTCTGCCGTTTCCCAGGATGCACAGCTTTGAGTGGTAACTGCCAGAGAGTAACCAGAGAAACTAATCTGACTGATCCAATCAGCTCTCTGATCAACCAGTCGCCTGGAACGCTGGTTGATCAGAGCATCGCTTTGGACAGAAACGCTGCACAGGTTTCACCAGCAACCTCCTCCACACCCCGCTCTCTCTCTTGTTGTTCCTGCGCAACCAAAGTAGTTCTTATCCGCACATGATGCATGAATTATTGCCTCCCTGCTCTCACTCGCATTAAAAAACACCGGGATAATTTATCCGACTCGCGGGCATCCGTGAAAAACTATCGATATCAGGGAGATATCGACATTTTTTTGGCAAACTTACACACCGAAGCAACACTAATTTTAGTGACCTCCGATCGGCGTAACCGGGTGTCATTACCACCAGCGTGAATAACAATCTTACTGTATTTAACCTTATCCTTAGCCAGTAGTTTCAGGTAGGATTTGATGTCGCCCATTCTGGCCCCCGGCAAACATTTGACTATGGTCCCTGGTGTCTCTAATGCCACGTTTCTGACTATGGAGCTGCCAATCACCAGAGTGGGCTTCTCAGTGGGTGTGTCACTGAGTGGGGAAAACCGGTTAGAAACGTGAACGGGTTGGTGGTGACCAGTGGGCAGAGATCCACGACTACGCTTTCTGCGTACAGTTACCCAATCGCCTGGCTGCTCAGGCACTGCTGGAGGACAGCTACGTGGGGGGCCTACTTTAACTCCTGGATACTCCTGGATGTTCAACAGCCTGAAGCCTGGATTCTAACTCTGACACCCTCGCCTCCAAAGCTACTAAAATACTACACTTATTACACATCCCATTATCACTAAAGGAGGCAGAGGAATAACTGAACATCTGACACAGAGAGCAGGAGAGAGGAGAGGAAGAAGGAAGAGTTGGAAAAAAGAATTCCACTACCAGGTCACATGATACCTTGCATCCCTTGTTTGATCTTGGCCAGGTCCTACAAGGAGGAATGTGAGCAGTGAGCCCTCGCTTAAGAACCCCGTCATAGTCTGTTGGAACATCTAAACTAGCAAGCAAGAAACAGGAAAGAAAAACATCTTTCAACCAGTCTTAATTTCCTCAACCAGGACGATGACAAAATATTTCGCCCCTTATTCACGTGATGATGACGAGATGATGACAAACAAAAATTGTTTCCAAAAAATAATAATATGATGAAAATAAAAAATGATTTTCGTTATCGAGACTAAGACCAGACGAAATTTATGAGCCATGGACGAATGGACATTAAGAAATGTAATTGTTTAATTTGTAATTGTTAATATGTTATGTTAATAAAATGCAACTCAAAACCCATCTGTTCAAGATTGCTTATTTTCTTTAAAAATATCAATTTCACTGTCACAGCCTCTGTATTTTTTAAATGTTTTTAAATGTCTTTATAATTATTATCTTTATTTTTTCTGACACTTCTTATGTTTTTGTACGGTGACCTTGAGTGTCCAGAAAGGCGCCTTTTTAAATAAAATGTATTATTATGTGTTTCTTGAGCCTCGTAGAAGATTACATGTTGTTGCCCTGTGTGTCCCTAAACGTTGCCTGTTCCACAGTGCCTCGCGTAGCTCAGTCTGGTTCTTCTGAGTGGTTTTCTGCATGTGGGTCAGATCATTGAATGAAATCATGACACTGTCTACTTTTAAGGCTAGGCTTAAAACTTTCCTTTTTGATAAAGCTTCTAGTTAGAGTGGCTCAGGTTATCCTGAGCTATCTCTATAGTTCTGCTGCTATAGGCTTAGACTGCTGGAGGACATAGGGACCCCTTTTCAATCATTCTGCTTCATTCTATCTCTATTCTCCCACTCTGCAGAATCTGTTAGTTCAATCTCTAACGTTCTGCTCTCTCTGCTTTTTCTCATAGTAGCTTCATCTGGTCTGTTCCTGTTTGGCTGTGACTCCATCCTGGAGAGAAATATCAGCTGTGCTGCTGCCATCAACACCTTTGTTTCTAGATGCTGGAGCTTGGCCTGTTTTTCAGTGTAGTCCTGTTTCTCTGACTGTGACTAACTGGATGTGCTCTCTTCATCCTCTGACATGGGAGCTGGCTCGGAGCTCGTCTGCCTGGCTGTGTGTTTCCTGGACGGGGCCGCCTGTGGAGCTGGTTGACAGTTGCCTTTTGTATCTATGCTTCTTTTTCTATGTCTGCTTCTGTCTCCTTGAACAATGACTCTATGCAATCAGCTGGTTTTCCTTAGATAGAAAACTTTGAACCAATTTGAAAGGATGATCTGGTTGAATTGTCTCTGTAGAAAAGCTGACTGCAGCCCATCCTTTTCTCACCATTGTTTTAACTGTGCAATAATTCAACTCTTTGTGCTGTAAAATATAATATTAAGTTTTGGGCTTTAAAAATGTTTATCATTACTATTAACTGTATTCAGCTTACTTTAAAGCTGAAATCTATTTCAAAGGGCAGAAACTGTTACCACTACGTAGCCAAAGATCAACAATACATGCAACAGTTTACCAGAATGACTGAAAAGATCATTGAGCCTCTTTCTTCTGTTTAACGGCCTGTCTGAACAGGATCATGACCACACAAAAGACCACCAAAAGCCGTGTTTGGAATAGATAGCCACACCCCTGTGTGTTGGTCTCTCTGATTTGACTCCAGATCAGGTCTACAGTGTAAGAACAAAAATGACAAAGAAAAGAGAAAACACAAATACAAAGGTGTTTTCAGCCTGCTTCGTCAGACTTTTTCTGTATGGAAATAAAGTGACAATAACTGATGTAAAGAGAATAAAAACTGTTAGATTCTTTAACAGATGACTGTGACACTAGTGGCCTTTACTGTTTATTGGCTGCACTACCATCACAGGACAGGTCATCAATGAAAGGTAAGTCATTTCTAAGAAAGAATGATATTAAAATCTATTTGCACATTTCTTATAAATTTACAGGTATGTATTTTTAATGTAAGTTTGAATGTTAAGCTCTTGAAATAAAGAATTACCAAATATCTTCAGTGTTTGTTTTTTTTACATTTAATAATAGTGCTTGACATTGTTTAAATTGAAGTTAATCAAAGAATTCCAGTTAAAGGTATGTGTGTGTTTTCAGCAGCAGAAAAGTTCCCAATGCCTCATCTTGGATGTTTATGTATTTTAAGGTCAGACGCTGCTCAGCTGTTTCTGCTGCTCTCTTCCATTGTTGCAATAGTTGATCGGCTTTATCTGCTTTGATTAGTTTAAAAATATAGTTTTAATATGTTTTTGAGCACGAAAGTCCACCTCATCTGTGCAGTCAGTTCTTTAGGATTAGGATCATAAAAATATATTTAGTATTGTTCGGAGTGGCAGACCCCCGCCCTGTCAAACATCTACCTTTCTAATTCCTCATAAAAACCTATTTTTTATATTTATGCTAATCTCTGTTTAGACTGCTGAAGGACATAGGCAGCTCTTTTCATCATTCTGTTTCATTTCTACTTTCCCAGACTGCAGGATTTGTTGCTTTTGTTGTTCGTGTGAGAGGAGGGATGGTTGGAGCTGAAGAAGTAGAGGAGTGAAAAAGTGAAAGTGTATTTTTTTATATCTTTTTTTATATATTTTGTTTTCCTTTGCTGTTTTTATCGGGTGAGCTGATTTTCCTTGGTTGTTTGGGGCGTGGCCATCTGGGCTGCCTGGCCTCTTTTCCAGCTACATGGCGGCGGGTGCTGGAGGTTTTCCCTCACTGACAGGGAGAAATGGTTTAAAGATGGTGTCAGGCTTCACTGTCAGTTGATGCTAGTAGATTTTTTTTTTCAGGCGTCCCCTCTTCCAGTGATTAAAATCACTCTGTCTGATGTGTGTTTATAAGTGATGGGTTTTTTTTTTCCTCACAGTGTCCCCCATAAACAAGTGTTGTTGGGTGGAAGTCCCGTTACTGAAACATGTTTACTTTACATGGAACTGAGAATGAAGGATGAGGAGTTTAATGTCAGCTTTCATTTGAAGCTGGATGGTTTTGAATATGTTTAGTGTTCCACTTCATCTGATATGAAGTGTTTTGGAAGAGGCCAAACAGCGGCAGACCGGCTCCGCTGGATACAGAGGAAACTGCTGTACAAGCTGCAGGGAGCAGAGTGATGGGACCATCCAGAATGCGGAGAAGAACCTCCTGCGGCCGCTACAGAGAGAGAACCAGCAGCAGCTGAGACAGACTCTATTACCAAAGGCTGTCCTCTTGATTCTTTAAAGATTCCAAATGTAGAAGCTGGAAAAGCGGTAATTAAAATGTGTTTGTGGACCGAAGAAA